GGGGAAGTATACGCGGGTGAGATAGAATTGGGGTGGTGATTGTGGTGATTGTGGTGAAGGGGGAGAGGGGAGTAGCATATGGGCCGATCAGGCTTGGGAAGGGGGTGATGGTGATGATGAGAGTGGTGGTGCGGTGGAGGAGAGGGTGACGCCACAGCCTAGCTGGGAGAAGATCCAGGAGAAGAAAAAGAAGAGTGAACCGGGGAGAAAGAGTAGTTTGGCGCGGAGGGAAAAACTATTACCGGGCACCGAGAGCCGGCGACGAGGGTGATGACAAGGAGGGGAAGGAGGCGCCGCTGTCCTATCCAATAGGGGAACTGGCGGGTGGAGGGGAAGGACGAGGGTTGAGTGAGACGGGCTTTGGAGACGGCGTGCCTGGGTTGTACTTCGTAGGGGGTTTGTTATGTTATGTATTCAATCGCGATATCCGCAAATCGGGGACGGTTCGGGACGAGAGCCTGGAAGGGGAATTTCAGCTGAGAAGATTACGTTGCTGTTGCTTGTTTGGTTTACGGAATGGATTTCCGAGCGATGGGCCGGCACGGACAAGTAACGGAATAGGAATACGGACGTCTAGCCATGCAATTAGTCGGTGCTTGCTTGTTTCGTTATTATTGAACGATCAAACACTACGGCACAGATCCCGCTCTGCTATGCTGAAACCTTCCTGTATCCTTCCTGGATATGGCCACGACGGGCGTTGGTATTACATGCCCCTAATCGCAACCCTTTACTTCTTCGCAAACGCCTTTTGCCGTTCCGCGTACTCCTTCACCATCACAGAGCAGCTCGTCTCGGCACACAGCCGCTTCCTCCTCGCGGCGGGCAGCTTGCTGGCAAACTCCAGGCCGCTCGCGCGCTCGACAGCCTCCAGCGGCACCTCGAAGTCGCTCAGGGGCTTCTCGTTGGGGATCACGGCATTAGGCAGCACAAAGGCGCCCAGGGCGACCTTGCCGCCGGGGGCGGCCTGCTCCTCGGCGTAGATGACCTTGTAGAAGTGGGTGGGCACGGCGACGTTGGGGGGGCTGCCGATGACCTCGTACTTGACGTACCACTTGTTGTCCTGCGGGTCGCGCTTGGGCAGGTACAGCGGGCCCGTGACGATGCGCACGCTCGGGTAGCGCTGCGTCAGCCGGCGGCAAAAGTCCTCAAAGTGCGCCCAGTAGTCGCGGTTGAAGCCCTCGCCCACCTGCGGGCACATGTTGGACAGGTAGAAGGTGTCGTTCATCGCCTCCTGCGACCACTTGCAGTCGGCTGCGGGTACCTGGTGCCCGCGGTCGTAGCCCGACCGGAAGTAGTCCTTGAGCTTGGCCTGGAACTTGTCCGGGATGGCGGGGTCCTCGAGGAAGGCGCTGTGCTTGCGGTCGCCGTCGCGGATGGTGAGGGAGTTCGGTGTGATGTGCTCGGCTACCCAGTGCGGGTTGCGCGTGCGCCGGTCGTAGGAGGAGATCAGGGCTTGCCGCGTAGCTAGGTCGGCGGTGGGACCAGGGAAGCCGTACTCGAAGAGCCCGGCGGGGTCGACGGGGCCACCGGGGGCCCTTGAGGCGGGGGTCGTCTGGGAGGTGAAGACTTGGGAGGCGGGGACCGGGACGGGGGCGGAAGGGGTTCTTGTGGTTACGGCAGTGGTAGTCGTCGATGTTACGGTCTGTTCTGGCTTTCGCATCGAGTACATGGCCGCCGTGGCCGCTGCACCGGCGCCGGCGCTGACGGCGGCGATGACGGCGATGGTGGCTTTCGACATTTTGGAGGATTATCCAATTGTTAGTGGATGTGTGGTTGTTGTGTCCGCCTGGCCGGCTGCCGGTATGTGGTGACTAGTGGTTCGGCAGTCGTTGTTGTCTCGGGCCGTCAACTTGGAATTTTGATGCGAGCTAAGATCCAAGCCTGTCCCCTGCAAGCGTCGCGCTACGATGTGGGGGCTTTCGCGGGCTCCTGCTCGAATAACTCCCCACCTCCGTTTGTGGCAAGACAAAACATCTGTGTAACAGTCGAGACATGCATACATGAAGTTATTCATTTATTTTTCCCGGGTATTCTGGGTTGAGTTAGAATGAACACGGCTTGCCCAAGGCAATCCATCTGTTGTGACACCAGCTTTGGTGGTTTTCATTGAGCGAAAGTAAGAATTTATCGCTGACCGGCCAGCCCGGTGTACGGAATAGTGCATTTTGAAACCACCTGACCTCGTGGAGTTAGGTATCCAACTCAGCTGGCCATCAAGGTGCTCATTGCTAGCTGCGTCTCTGGCAGTGGCCGTGGTCGTGTATCATGGTCACCGCCTGCCCTGGTGCACAGATTGCCAATCACTGCCCTTTGACTCGAGGTGGGCTGCAGGGCTGACTGACTACACCCCTGTCACAGCGCGGGGGTTACACTCGGTGGGCGACGCCACTGAAGGGGGGTACGCACCCACGCACTTCGAGTCCGATGCCTAACTTTCGGAGCCTTTGTGACCTGCAGTGTTTAACTGGGTAAAAAGCCTACCTGCCTACCTAGGTGGTAGGTTTTCGGCGGCCAGTTGGTCAAGGTGCGTCTTATCTCGTTTCGGGAAGGCCTGCGACGCTCTGTCCTGAAGGTCGAGGACCTAACGGCCACTGCTTGGAAGGTGCAAGCAAGGGTTGGCCCATTTTGAAGGCGGAAACCCCCGGGCATTGGCACTGGCACTGACTGGGCAAAATGGGCAAAATGTCTGTCAAAAGCCGTTAACACACTTAGCAGCTGCATGAGGGTGGCCATCGAGGTTCTCATCGGATTAGTTATCATGTACAATCCCATCCTTTATTGCCTCGAGCCACTGATCTTATCCCTCCTTTGTAATTCCAGCCTCATCTCCATCCCATCCCGATGACAGCCGTGTCCTCGCACAACGGCCCCGACAATAAATATTCAAAACCTCTACGCCGCAGGTAGAAAACATTGATTATTACACCACCCTCCACACGCTAGTTGACCCTCAAACCTTTTTCAAGCGCAAAAAGCGCGCATCTCGAGCACAACCATGGACGCCAACGCCATGGACATGGACAACGACACGCGAGGCTGGATCATGTGCGCTTTCAGCGGCCTCGCCTGTATCATCGGTGCATCCGCCATTTGCATCGACATCCCTATCCGTCTCATCCCCAGCAAGCGCCACTTCCGCATCCAAGAAAGCAATGCCTTCCTTGCCTCGTCCCTCAGCTTGAGCTTTGGCGTCATGGTGGGTAGTCAAACTTCTCTGTCTTCTGGTGTCAAGTGAAACACATTGCTGACTACCATAGCTCTTCTCTGCCCTATACAGCATGCTACCCTCAGCTATGCGCTACCTCGCCAACGACAACTGGGATGAGCACACGGCCGGCTTCTTGATGATGGGTTGCTTTATTGGCGGCTTCTTCGGAATTCAGGTCATCTCGCGCGTCTTGCACCAGTACATGCCCTCACACGTTGTCGACTGCGACCATACCCACGAGAGCGTCGAGGGCGAGGAACACGGCCACCACGGCCACAACCATTCTCTACCCAAGTTATCTCCTCACTCGAGTACTGTTAGTGACCCACCACATATGGTCGAGGTTCACAGCAACATTACCGAGACCACGCCCCTAATTCCTACCGAACCCCCGCGGAGTGGCCATATCGATACCGAACTTGTCAACGGTGACGCTGCGCTAGCAGCTGAGGCTGTCACTCATTTCCACGACCCTCAACAGCCGACATCCATGCAAACCAAACGGCCTTCGATGAATGTCCGGGGCAAGGTCATGTCCTTCTTCAGGGACACTAAGGCAAACTGTGACGAGGACGGGCCCTGCTACGGCTACTCGGACCCCTGTGGCCAGGAGTGCTTCAAACACATCGGAACACGCTCCGCCATGTCTCGGAGTGGCACACTACTGACCGAGGACTGCTATGAAGAATGCGAAGTCCCGACCGTAACCCCTCGATACCGTGTCATCCGCGCCCCTTCCCACGCCCACGACGACGACACCCATCACCACCATCACGCCCACGTCCACAACCACGCCCACGGCAGCGACATAGAGTGCCCCGAAGACGTCGAAGCCCAACACCATCACCATGTTCCCACCAACGGCTTCCTATCCATCGGGCTCCAGACCGTCATCGCCATTGCGCTCCACAAATTCCCCGAAGGCTTCATCACCTACGCGACCAACCACGCCAACCCGTCCCTCGGCTTCAGCGTCTTCATGGCCCTCTTTGTGCACAACATCGCCGAGGGCTTCGCCATGGCCCTGCCGCTATACATGGCTCTCGGCAGCCGCTTCAAGGCCATCTTTTGGTCCTCGCTGCTGGGCGGGTTTAGCCAACCCCTCGGCGCAGCCGTCGCCGTGGCTTGGTTCAAGCTGGCCAAGCGGTCCAATTTCGAGATCAACAGTACCGCTTACGCCTGCCTGTTTGCTGTCACTGCGGGCATCATGGTCAGCGTGGCGCTGCAGTTATTTGTCGAGAGTTTAAGTCTGAACCACAACCGGAACTTGAGCATCTTCTTTGCGTTTTTGGGTATGACGCTATTAGGCATGAGCAACGCCCTCGTTAGTCATTAGGTGGCCGGTTGGATTTGGAAGCATTGTTTCGGCGTTCCATGGGGGTTTATAAAGTTCAAGTCTGGTTTTACACTCATAGGCGAGGTCTGGTAGGAGCAGATCGTGGGTCACGGCGTTTGGTTAAAGAACCACCCGGGGTGGGACTGCCGCACGGCAAGGGACATCAAAAAATCAACTCACCTATGTATACCATTTTGTATATTCGTTAGCCACCCGCTCGTGGCTCCTAACCTAGACACAATCCCAGCGTTTTACCGCAAACCGCATCTCCTCTGAGCCCCCAATCAACAAGGTATTCGTCCTGACCCCCTCCCCATAGGGAAACACCTCACCCACCCCTCAACGCCTCCATATATCACAGCATCCGTCGTCCTGCATCAAAACCCCACTCTATTTATTCCCTCCTCCCCTCTACAACCCCGTCTCCACCACCACATCCAATAAGCACACCAAGCCTGATTAGCATAGTGGCTAATGCGTTGCACTTGTATCTTGGCCCCCGCTCTCCCCCGGGGACCGCGACAGACGACATGCAAAGATCACAGGTTCGATTCCTGTATTAGGCATAGGTAGCCCAAACCCGTACTTTTTGTTCCCCCGTGGTAGGCAGGTGAGAGGGAGAGTTTGGGTTGCTTCATGCTGTTTGGGGAGGTGCTGGGTTGTTTCTGGAAGGGAGAGTTTCTTGGAGGGGGATGTTTCTGGGAGTGGTTGATTTTTGGCTGATGAAGGGAATTAGAGGGGCGGTTAAGGGCAGGCAGGGCTTGCAAAGAATTAGAATGGCATAGCCGCCGTTTGTAAGACGAACAACAGGCACAAGTAACAAGACAACCTCCTACTCACGCCCCTAAACTGGTACCGCTGCATCTCCCACCCCCACGCTCAGTGCAATGCGCAATGTAGGCACAGCCAAAGTATAGTTAAGTATGTATGTATGTTAAAGACAAACACAAAGAATATGTAATACTCAAACATGATCCATCACCCATCCCTCATCTCAGGTTTATCCCCAGCCAACCCCGTTTCCTGAGCCAAGCCGAGCCGCCAATTCCTCGGTCAACGGTTAGTCTTGGTCGACTAGGCAAAGACAAAAAAACAGTAATACTCTCTTTCGTCCGTCCATCCATCGACCCATCCACTCATCGAGCCGTCTTATTCACTTCTTGCCTTGCCAGCCTCTCTCTCACTCTCCGAGTCCATTTGTCCCATCTAATCCAGACGGAGTAAACAGTGTGATAAAAAAAAGAGAAAAGGCCCAAGCATTATAAACGCAAACGCCGTTGCCTACCCATAATTTCCTCTCCCCGAACCCAACCTAATCGCCCGCATATCAATCACACACAAGAACCGAGAACGAAGAACCACGAGCCCTGAATACCAATCCGCCACCGCCACACCCACGCCGAGTCCTCCGGTCCATTCCGTACCTAGAACTAGAAGTATGGGGGATCAGTGAGCGACGCCGACCCAAGATTTAATCCTCATCGCTCTGCACGCCGCTACTCCCGCCATTGACCTGGCTGCCGGCGCCATTCGATGCATGGGCGCTGGCGCTGGCGCTGGCCGAATTCGAAACCAGCTTGATCCTAGTTGGCGGGCCGCTGGGCGTGGGCTGCGGTGTCCCGTCCGTCGCCACCGTCGAGGGCGCGGCCGAGCCGTCCTTGGTCGCTGAACTACCACCAGCAGCAGCAGCGCCAGCAGACGGGTCCTCCAGCGTGCGCAGGTCCGGGTTTTCGGAGAGCTCTTTCTCGAATTGGGCTCGGAAGAAGGCCTTTATCGGAGGGTTAGTACATGTTTGATGCTGGGGTGAGAGGGTAGTACGGAGGCTTACCTCGATTAGATTTACGTCCTGGCAGATGCCGCTGCTCTCCTCGTTGAACGTCCGGCAATTGGCAACCATCAGGTCCATATCTTTACGCATGTCGGCCAAGCTCATGTAGTCCTCCTTCTTGATCTTCTTCTGGATATCATTCATGCAGATGGGGTTGACAATGATGAGGTAGTAATCGCCCCAGTCACGCTTGGGCGGGAGCTTGACAAAGGGTCCAATGATGAGGCGCTTTGGCGGCCCATCATCGTCGCCGTCGGGATTCTCCTGCGGCTCGTCATCGTCCACCTCCAAGTTCATCAGCCCGTCGAAGATGCGCCGCAGGCTCTTCTGCAGCTTATCGCGCACGTCTGGCGCCAGGCGGCTGTCAGGGCCGTTTGAAGCGAGCGCCTTTGGACGTCCCTGAGGTCCACGGCGCTTTTTAGTCGGGGGCTCGTCATCGCCCTCTTCGGCCTTGCGCTTCTCCTGGTTCTTGCTGCCCGGCTTGCGCCCGCGCTTCTTGACAGGCGTCTCGACCTCCTCGGTGCTAGCGCGACTAGCGGCCGGCGAGTTCTCCAGCGACGCACCCGCGACGCCCTTTCGCTTGAGTTTGTTGATCTCGCGCTTCTGCTTGCGGGCGGCCTTCCGCGCCGCGGCCGCCTCGGGGGAATCGTCGTCGTCGTCAACAGCCATGAGCCATTGCTCTTCCGTGAGCCCATCGTCGTACTTAACCTTGGTACGCTCACGGGCTCCACGGCCCAGGATGGTCTCCACCTCTTCTTCAACCGGATTGCCCTCGTTCAGATAGATGTCCGGTAGTTCGTCCTCAGTCATGAGGCGCGAAACACCCTTGCAGCCAGGGGCAGTGCCGTAGAGGGGATCACGTGTCCTCTCCTCATCCAGCTTCTGGAACGTGGCGAGCTCGTCGTCGGTTCGGGCGAGGATCAAGTTCAGTTCCTCGTCATCCATCTCCTCTTGCTCGCCCGACTCTGCCATGTCGGCAGTTTCTAGGAGCGTCCGGAGCATGGCATCACGGTCTGTTTCCGAGGACTTGTTATCGAAACGACCAGCCTGAATGACCTTGCCATCCATGTCGAGCTTGTACCTGGCGCGCTCCAGAATCTTTTCCTCGACGGACGCTGAGCTGATAAGCCGGAGAATGCGCACTTCGTTCTTCTGACCGATACGATGGGCACGATCCTGGGCTTGCAAATCCTGGTGGGGATTCCAGTCGGAGTCGTAGATGATGACCGTGTCGGCCGTTTGCAAATTCAGACCCAGGCCACCAGCACGGGTGGAAAGGAGGAACATAAAGTACGGCGAGTCAGGCCGATTGAACTCGTAGAGGAGTTCGGACCGATCCTCGGACTTCGTGGTACCGTCAAGTCGGAGATACGTGATGCCACGGAACCGGAGGAAGTCTTCCATGATGTCCATGATAGCGGTCATCTGGAAGAACATCAACACACGATGGCCGGTCGCCTTGTACTTCGGGAGGATCCTGTCCAAGAGCTCGAACTTTCCAGCCGTTCTCCAAAGGAGATCGTTGCTGATGTTGGCGGGGTTCATTTGGTTCTCGACCTCGTCGAACACGAACGGATGGTTACAGAGCTTCCGCAGCTGCATAATCATGTTGCTCAAGCCACGAGCACCCGCCTTACCCCCGCTGGCGTCACTAACGGCAATCTTTTGGTGCGTCACCATTTGCTTGTACAGGCGGGCCTGCAGGGCTGAGAACTTGCACTTGATGACCTTTTCTGTCTTGTCGGGAAGATCCTTCTCGACATCCTTCTTGAGACGACGCAGCAAGAACGGCCGCAGCACCTTATGCAAGCGACGGATGACGAGAATCTGTTCTTCTTCAGTGAGCTCCATCTTGTCTTGGCCACCGGTGTTTGCGAACGGTGTGTTGAACCACTCATCGAACGTCTTAACCGACTTGAAGATATTGGGTAGGACAAAGTTGAGCATGGCCCACAGTTCGGCAAGGTTGTTTTGCAGAGGGGTACCGGTGAGAATCAGGCGGAACCGGGTGCTGTAGTATTGCTGGATGGTGGCGCTCAGCTTGGAGTTTGCGTTCTTCATGCGGTGACCTTCGTCGATGATCATGTGGAACCACTTGATCTTGCTCAGTAGCGGACGATCCTTGATGATGTACTCGTACGTCGTAAGCAAGACCTGGAACCTGCCCTGGCGGATTTTCTCTTGCTGCAGCTTTCTAGCGTTCGGGGGGCCTTTGTAAACCACCTTGGTAACGGAGGGCGCCCACTTGTCGAACTCGAGATTCCAGTTGGTCAGGGTGCTCAGGGGAACGATGACCAGGTAAGGACCATGTTGATGCTTCCTCTCGATGAGGTATGTGATCAGACTGATGGTCTGAATCGTCTTGCCGAGACCCATTTCGTCGGCGAGAATACCGTTCAGGTTGTTATTGTAGAGCGACAACATCCACTGCAAGCCCTTGATCTGGTATTCCTTGAGGGTACCGCCGACCAGGATACTGGCTTGTTCGGTGACGTCTTCCTTGATGCGGTGGGCAACAGCGTAGTAGTCAATCTTGCGGCTGCTTTCCTCGTCCTCCTCCTCGTCCTCGCTTTCCTCGGGCAATTCGCCGTCGTCGCCATAACGTTCGGCGGCCTGCCGTTGCTGAGCACGGACGGAGGAGGCAAGCTGGTGCAAGAAGCCGTCGGTCTGCCGGAGCAAGTGAGTGATGCGGGTATCCTTGGCCTGGTCGAGAAGCTTGAGATACGCCTCTTCGTCGTTGGCTTTGAGGGCCTGCAAACGCTGCTTGGCTGTCCGCTCGATCCTCTTCTGCTCCTCCTTCTCGATGTTGAAGTGATGAGCATACATGTGGCGACTGAGCCTCTGCGTTTTCCCGCGCTGAGCCTGACCTGCGTTGAGAACCTCGTTGCGGTGGTTGTATACGGCTTGTAGAAAATCGACGTGCTTTTTGCGCTCCCGATTCTCGCGGGCATCCCGCTGCTGCTTCTCAAGCTTCTCGGTGACGCGAGCTTCCCGGACGTTCTGCTTCTTCATGCGGCGGTACGCGGCCCTGTTGGTGGTCATAGCCAAATTGTCGTAGTGCATCATCTGCTTTCCAACCCTGTCTCTCAGAGCGCGCTGCTTGGAGTACAGGGCCAGCTTCTTCATCTCGATGAGGGCCTTCCTCTTCGCCGAGTCATCAGCCACGAGGGTATCCTGGGACGCATCCCAGTGTGCCAGGTTGCCCGGGAGCGACTTTAGTTCCGAGTACCTCGCGCTCATCCGGTTAAAGACGATCTTCTCACGGTCAGCCCTCAGCTGCTCGAAATCGATGCCCGTCGGAAAGAGGCCGGGAATAATGAGACGGTTCTTCCGACGCCCATGGTCCATGTACGAGATAGTCTGGCGCACGAGCCCACCGTCATATGGAGACTTTATTGTCTTGAACGACTTGGGCTGCGGAACCGATGCGGCTTCGCCCTGGGTATCTGCTCCGTTCGTGCTAGGCTTCGCACCATCCTGTTCCGGTGCGTCTGAGGGGGCAGCTGCGGTGGGGGACTGCGTGGTTTGTTTTGCCGAGGACATACGACGCCGTTGCCTGTGCTCAAAGATGGCCTTCTGCATCTGGGCGGGGACACCGGCATTTTTGCCAAGCATCCTGAAAGCCTTAATTTGTGTCCAGAGCAGGTTGAGCTGTGCCTGTGAGAATTGGCTGGCCTGATTTTGCGCCGGCGCGCTGGCGGCCGTGTTAGCCGCTGGGGCGCCCGAGGTTGCTGGCAG